TCATTGTCTAGTGCTTGGATTGATGGTGTCAGTGTGCCACCCACATAGGGGTGGAGCCAGGATGTGATGTAATGGCAGGAAGAAGGTGTGTCTTGCTTTTTGCTGGTTCTGGCTGGCTGTTGGCTGCCACCATGAACTGCAGCCCAGCCAGGTCCACCTGTCTTGAAGCCAACTAAGTGTGGACTGAAACCTGCCAGCTGAAGCAGTAGCCAGACTTTTCTCTCTCTTGGCTGTAGGGCTCAGTTGCCTGGATCGCAGGGCTCTGTTTGCCTGACTGTGAGAAACAGCTTCTCTACATTGCCACCATTCTGCAACCTCATGTGGCCACTGTCGCCATTCTGGAGCTTGGCACTCTGCAGCTTTTCCCTCTGAGCAGATTTTTTCACCTTTGCTATGAGGCTGCACAGGGTGGGGACCCACTTCCTGGGATGCCCTGGGGCCATCTTTCGTATTTCTCTGTTTCCCATCAACAATCAAAATCTCAACCCTGTCTTTACAATCCACAGCCTTCCTGGTATTTTCCTTCTGGCCAAACTCATAGCATTTTAAATTATCCTGCTGGGCTCTTTGCTCCTGATTTGAAACATATAGCTGGCTGAAAGCCCCCAACAATAGCCATGCCACAGCCTCAATGTTTGTTTGCTTTTTAATTTCTTTTTCAAGATTAATCTGTCCATTGGCCTTTGTCTCAGTCTCAGGCAAAGTCTCTGGGCAGGAGCAAAATGCAGACAAACTTTCTGCCAAGCCATAACACACATCATGTGGAGTCCAATGACCAATGCAGTCCTTCTTCCCAGCAGAAACCTCCCAAGCCTGGTCTTTACCATGAGGCTTTCTATCAGCCTTCTGTTCTCCTGAGCTCTGACCAGAATCTCCTCTACAGAACAGCCTAAGCTGCTCCAGCTCTATGCATCCAGGTGACATGTCCAAACCTTTCCAAAATCCACCCACAAGCCATTTCCAAAGCCTCTTAAAAAACATGGTCAGGTATAGTCACAGCAAATGACCCCACTCCTTGGTACCAAATTCCTGTCTTAGTTACTTTTTACTCATCACTGAGACAAAATACCTGAAGCCCAAATTTGGGAAAGGAAAGGTTTATTTCTTACAGTTTTTGGAGTTTTCAGTCCACACTCAGTTGGCTCCAAGACAGGTGGGCATGGCTGGGCCGCAGTTCATGGTGACTGCAAATACCAAACAGGAACCAGCAAAAGAGCAAGACACACCTTCTTCCTGCCATTACATCACATCCTGGCTACACCCCTATGGTGTATGGCTACACCCTGGAGCACTGACACCATCAATCCAAGCACTAAATAATAAACTATCACAAATACACAATGCAAACCCATGAGGCCTGGGGGACACAGACATAAACCATGACAGGTTCTAAGCTGATATAATATCAGGTCCATTACATATAAACAACCTGAAGAAAGTACATGATAGGTATGTTAGGAAAAATAAATTTTAGTTCAATTTTAGCCAGATGTTGTGGTACATGCTTTTAATCCTAATACTTGAGAGGTTGAGGTAGAAAAATCACAAGGTCATGACCAGTCTGGAATATATTCAAGGCCATCCTGGAATACAAAGCAAGAGCAAGTCTCAAAAAAAGGGTGTGAGTTTGATTATATATATATATATATTTGAGACAAGTTTTCTCTATGCAGTTCCTGCAGTTCAGACTAACCTTGGACTCACTTTGTAACACTGACTGGCCTCAAACTCAAACGTTCCTCCTGCCTCAGCCTCTCAAGATCTGGGATTATAGAGGTGTGTGCCACCATGCCTGGTTTATAGCTTAATTTCTAATGGTTTTTCTAACAACCAATTCACAAAGTTCCTCAAATACGACAATATTTTTCTATTTTCTTATCTACTTTAGTCTCACAAAAGGTACAATATCATCTCTAAGAACATTTTAAATTTTAAAAACTATGTTATGCTATAAATCTTTTGTTTCTTAGCTTTAAAAAATAATAGTTATGTTTTAAAGATCCATCCATGTTATTGTAGCTTAGTTTGTTGATTTTGACAGTTACAGACTATTACTTAGCATGGATCCATCATATTCAATTATATATTTCCTTCACATACACATTCATATTGGCCTCAATTTCCCAAAATGCAGTGGCAAAGTTTCTTATGTTTCTTTATGCCATTGGGAGGATGAATATGTCTTCTCTGGCATACACTCAGGTAAAAACATGACTGGTAGAGATTTTGTTGAATATATATCGCCGTATTCCTATGGACAATATAGATCCATGTTTCTATTGGCAATAAACAGTTGCCACTGAAGCTGTGTCTGCCTGCTTTAGCCAGGTCTTACTGCTCTCTGGGTTATCACCTAGACTATGGTAAGGAATTGAACTTGTGACCCTGGTTTAAGGGAATGAGTTTTCAAATACTGGGCAATCTTATTCAAGATTTATAAATGCCTCACTAAATTGATTGCATACCTGAAAAAATTACATGGGATCTTTCACTTCTTCTGCAAGAAGAATCTTCAGTGGTATATAATTCATATTGTGGTCAAGTAGGAAAAAGAAACACTAAAGTAACATTTTTTTCTCATTCAAGTAGCTATTTTTATGGACTTGTTTTCAATTCAGAAATATTTACAGAGCACCTATTATTGGCAAGCACTGGGTTCAGTGTGAAGCAAATAGCACACAAGAAGCAGAAGACTTGCTAGCTCTCTTCTGAAGGGCAGAGTTTAACTGCAAAGACACAAAATGATGAGTTAGCTTGAGAAAGCCCCTGGTCAGAAAGTTCCTCTTCAATACTTCCCAGCTCAAATAAAGCCCCCCTCCCACCCTCCCTCGCCTCTCCCACCCTTCCTCCCTTTCTCTACATGACCAAAGCCTGGGGGCAGGTCAACACCACTTCTCACTCGCATAACAGCACTAGTATCTCAACTTATCACTCTGCTCCCTTCTGGTAAAGATCCCACACTGAAAACTGTAAATCCTATTGTCCCACTCTTCTGCTTCAAATACCCCTGCCCCCTACTATTAGAAGAGAGTCCTTTAATCGCAAAATACAAGACGTTAATATATTACTATTTGGTCTGAGCTAGCAGTTCCATATCATTCCTTATGAACTTTTTGTCCAGATAACAAGTAAAAACTGCATTTTCTTGAACAGGCTCAATATTTATTGTCCCTATGCCTTTGGACATACTGTTCCCTCCATCTGGAATGTCCTCTTTCCACCTGGCACTCCAGTATCACCTTCCTGAATAATCTCCGGTCTTTTCAAAAAACCATTGCATATATTTGGTTTCTTAGGCAACCTGTTGACCTCCACAGGTTGCATTAAGCCGTTCCTTCAGTGTATCTTTCCCTAAAATTCTGGGTCATTCGTTTACATTTCTATTTTCTTCCCAAGGCTGGGAGTACTTAGAGAGTATCTTCATTTTGTGCTCCTGTGTCAGTACAGTGTATATGTTTTTAGCTAAGCTTAGTAACTGGTATGAGACAGCACAAAGTAGCAGCTGTACATTTATTTCCTAGGATAAATAAACAAATGAATGTTTTTATTGAAATGATTAGCATTAAATTAATGATTAACACTAAACTGCAACATGTATATAAAACATTCCAGTTGTTAGCATGGGTTCATTACCATTCCTATTTACTCAACACCTCTTTAAAGAGTTTGTAGTTTCTGGCTCTTCCAACTCTGATGGTTCATTGCTTTAGCAGAATGCAATTTCTGCTAAGGTATTCATTTTAACTAAATCTAGTGTCAGTAAAATTATTTATGTTCCCTACAACATATGCAAAAGATTTACCACAATATCAAAATGCTCAGTATGTGCTGGTTTTAAGAATCTTACTATTGTATTAATCAGTTGTTGCTAATTGTAACAAAAATTCTGCAATAGTAGTATTTTTCTTGCTCTTATATCAGTACAGTGTATATGTTTTTAGTTAAGCATTTTTTTTTTTGCTTTAAAATTATTACAGAAGCCTAGGTTCTATCGGTGTTTAAGTATATCACTCCTTTGGTCGCTTTACTCAACTCGAATCTATTTTCTTTTATTCTGAATGATACATGACAACTCATTAAGTACAATGAATACCTTAGGCTTTGGTCATGGACAATCAGTATCACCTGGAAATTTTTGTTTGAAAGGTAAACTCCTGTTTGAATCCATGAGCCCTATTGAATCCATCTGTGTTTTAAGAAGGCTTCCAGGTGATTCTGTGAATTGTAAAGGAGCAAAATCACTCCGGGAAGGAAACAGGATTCAATTCTCTCCTATATATACAGCTAGCTGGCTGGATCCACCGGACACTCTGAAGCTGAAATGGCCTTTCATAGTAGTCCAACTCTGAGCCAAACTGGCTCCACTTGGAGATACAGATATTTATATCTGTATATAGATATTTGATCAGCCAAGAGATGTGGCTACAGTTTGCCCAGGGAGGACTACTCTGCAGCTGAGGCAGTACCTGAAAGCAATGTCACTTGAAGGATGTTTACCTATGTACCCTCCTCATCAACAAGAATGTTTCCTTGAAGGATCCCTGGGTGATGCATCCTGGTCTCCATCACTGTCTCTCCAAGAGAGTCTCACATTGCTACCTAGGGTGAGGCAGGGCATTAGGATTTTTAAAAAGTACTCTACAGAATCCCAGTATACAGCCACAATAGATACTATTTAAAAGAGTCAAGCTGAAGGTTGAGAGGGGGCTGTTTTCTGTTTGTTTTGTTTTCACTAATGTTTGTGCTCTACAGTTTTTTCTAAATGAAATTGTGCCTGGAGGAAGGCTTTATGTGGAGCAAACAATCAATAAATACTTGTCGGGTAGTTGGCTAAAATAATTATAATTCCATTGAGAGGAATTCTACTTAGAAAATTAATGTAGAAGTAAAATATAATAGAAATCCAATAACATATTCACAAAACAAATTAATAACTTCATGAATTAAGTTATCGTCAAGGTGTTAATCAAGTAAGTAATACATGCGCTTTTCTATTAAAGAGGAAGTTGGAAGACCTGAGCTCTGAGTGGGCGGCAGTAAACCACTTACTTCGAGAACTGAGAGCAAAGCAGCCTGACCTGACTCCTGGACTGCCCACTGTTGGAGCCTGTAAGTATACTGCAGCCATTTTTTCCCCACTGGCTATTTGTTCAAAAGCTTGACAATGAGGTGATATCTGAGTAAAAAGAAAGAATTAGCCCCTCACTCCACTCCATTCTGCAGCTAGGAACAAACCTTTGTGGATTTACTATGCAAAATGTCTTGAAATGGGCTCTTTGCAAATTGTCTGTGAACCAAAGACTTACTGAAGAGGGGTCTCTGAAGATACAGTAGAGGGAAGAGAGGAAGGCAGGAGAGGGTACCAGTGGCTGAAATGCGGTTTGACTTCAGCAAATGCCTCACCTGCTTTCGCAAGAGTTGATTTTTCAGGAGCCCTGGGCTGGGTTCTCTTTGCAGAGCTCTCTTGAATGGCTGGAAGAGGGCCTGACTTCCTATTCCTTTCAGCCTGCCCTTGCCTGTGGGCTGCCTCCGAGAAGTAGAGGTTTTATTAGAAAAAGATGTGTTTTTCTGGGTCTTTATTTTTTGGTGCTGCTGTTGTGTGTTTGTTTTCTGGGGCTGGAAGCAATTCATTGTAAGGGAGACAGTAAACCACCAATATTCCCAACACCCAGAAATGAATCACTTTCCTATCAAGGTGAAGCAACAGAGTGTTCATTAACGCTATACCCATGGGATTTCGATCTCCAAGTCGTGTATTATTTAGACAATATTTAACTTGAACAAAATATGCTTACAGAAATCACAGAAACCCAGTCTTCCTATCTCTCCCTGTCCCCTTTGAAAGCAATTTTAAAAATTCTTTCATTTTGAGTTCAAAAGAACACAACAATGAGCTATGTTTATTACCAGGAGCTGACTTGGGGGACTAATGTTTCTTCATTTAGCTATAGCTGTAACTTTTGTTGTTACTGCATTTTTTCAGTCTCTTTTATTTCACTTTCTATTTAGTTGAGAGAAGATATGCAACAAAATCTCACAGCAGTCTTAATGTAGGCTTTCACTCTCACAGGAAAGAAACCAGAAAACTTTGCTGTACCCATTCTATAATTAGGCAGATATAAAAGCATCTCTGGGTGTTTTTTTCCCCCTTGGCTACTTTTCAGAGATCAAATATTGAAGTATTTTGCATGGTGACCAATTCTTCAGGTAAAGCTGATTTTTGTTTTATATCAAGTAGAAATGTATAGAATTAGATCATAGCTAGGGTGGCATAATCATAAATCAGTAGAGGCATAAACAGTGTTTGGGTTAAAGCAGGGCATACAATCTGGGTACAGTACATCTCAAGAGCCTCCAGGGATTTCTGGGCAGTCATCAGGGTTAGACTTAATGGCACTGGAGACTTGAAAAAGATGTGCAAGCATCATGTTTCAACCTGGGACAGTGAAACTGCTATATCAGGATTTATATTCAGCTAATTATGTCAGGTTTATTTCTTTCTATGAGCTGTAATTTTTTGTTTCCCTCAGCACATATGCACAGTTTGTTCCTGTATAATCATTTATTGGCATTTGTTCTCTGTCTCTTATACATTCAGCCTCAGATTTTATTTCAATGATTCTTTTATAAGCTTGTTGAACTGAATTTATGGGTTTACGTCCCCAATTAAACCACCCTATATGTGTATGGTAGAAAGAGTCCAAAACCATGGCACATGTATTGTTCCTAAATATAATGACAATGTTTGGAATGGAAAATATACTCAGAGTTCCAGTTTTAATTTCCAGCAACATGAATTCAGACACTTTAGCAAATGTTTATGGAGTAACTTCTATATATCGAGCATCAGACTAGGGGCTGAACATTCAGCGTAAGATAAGGTGAAGTCCTTTTTTTCAGGAAATATTCTAATTGGAATAAACAGACAATAGACTAATAAAGAAAAATATATATTATCTTGAATATATGTGCTATAGAATATAGACTACAAATTGATGTCTAATGGACTTAGTTAGAAATGCCAGCCCCACCTCAGACGCACCTAATCACAACCTGTGTGCTAACACATTCCCCAGGGCTCCATGCACACACTGCAGTTTGAGAAGCATAGTTACAGAGAAGCAGGAAATAAGGTACAAGCACAGCGAGTGTGGATGAAGACCATCATTGTCTAAAGTGTGATCAGGCAGGCTTTTCCATTAGGAGAAAGTTGATCTGAGACAGTGAGCTATATGTATAACGGAGTAAAATATTCTAGGCAGAAAGAGAAGAATCAAAATGAAGATGTTGAAATATCAGTAAGACAGAGAAATGTCAGTAAGACCAGGGAGACTCCAGCACAGGGCCAGCAGAGGAGCACGGGAGGCAATGGGATGCCCTGTTTCCTATACTCCCTCTTCCCCCAGTGAGGGCCTCTTTGCCTCCATGGTGCCTGTCTTCCTCCCCACGCCCTCTGTCTTGCTGCCGGTAGGGAATCTGGGCAAGTCCTCAGCTCCAAGTTATTGGTGATAGCTGGCCAGAGCTGTAGAACCAAGAGAGGAATGTTCTCAAAAGCAGGGGCTTTTCATCCCCTTTAGCAAAACTCCACAAAGCTGGGCATAAAGTCAAAATGTTAAACACACCAATGTTGAATGAAAAGAATCAATAGGGGGTCAGTTAGATCCAGAGCCGCTTTTATTCAAATAAAACTCTTTTAAAAATTTGTATGTGGTAGTTAATACATTGGTATTAGTAATTTTTATATTGCTTCATGAAATTAATATGAAGTAAGTTAAAATATTTTAAAAATCTAATTTGTCCGGTGACTATATTTCATGTACTATATTATGCAGCAGAATTTATAACTCATCATAATGTTTTTGCTTTCAGTTCCTAGTATTGCATGAATAACTGCTTTTGCATTTATCTCTCTATCCTCAAAATAATTACAAAAGTACATATGGGTAAATATAGCTTTTTTAAAGGCAAGAAATCCAAAGTTTCAAAGGAAAATAGCTATATTAAGGGCACACAGCTGGAAAGAAAATGAGCCGGGATTCCAATCCAAGTGTGTCAGTCTCCAAAGCCTGCGTTGTGTTGTATTTTGCTTTTGTCTTGTGCTTACTCTCCGTTCATGAACGTAATAGAAATTCTAGATTCAGAGGCAGTTAACCAGTAGTTAATGCAATCTAACTCACTGTTCAATCTGCAGGGACTAAAAGTGATGAATATTTCTCCATCTTTTCCACTTAACATGTAGGAAAAATCCATTTACTCTGAATTTCTTAGAAACATAGAATTGTGAACTTGGACTAATCATTGATATTATCACCTGGTTGAACATTTTTATATGTGTGGAAATTTAGGCCCAAAGTGGCTTTTTTAAAAGCACTAAACCAAGCTCTCTAATGGCTATTTATCTAAATTATATAATATGATGCAGTGACCATGCCTGAGCTGGTCTAATTTACAGGACAAATTTACAGGACTAATTTACAGGACAAATGGGTATATTGGAAATAAAGTTCTGCAATTATCTTTCCTCTGATACCTGCTGTATCAGTCAGCTGCTGTTGAATAAAACCACCCTCAAACTTAATGGTCTAAAATAAGAGCAATTTACGTATTTATGAATGTGTTGCTCTACAGTTTGCCCTACCATTAGCTGGATAGTTATTGTAATGGTCCTAGTTGATAACCAATGTGAATGCAGGTAAAATGCGAGTGCACAGGAGCTAGCTGCTTAAAGTGGTTTCATATGGGTATCTGACAGCAGGCTGTTGACTGGAGAACCTCAGCAGTTCATAAACCCTCAGCCTCTGGTGGTTAGAGAAAGGCTTCATTTTATGATGATCTTAAGGCAGTCTTCCAAGAGGGGGAGGGGCAGGGGAAAAGCTCGATTCCTTGATGCTCAGATTTGGAAGGTTGTATCTCACTTCTGCTACATTCTATTGCTCAAAGTAAGTTTTAACTGTAGTCCAGAGTCCAGAGGTGAGACAATGACTTCATTTCTTGAAGGGAAGAGCTGGGATATCATGTTGCAAAGGGTACAGATACTAGGACTGGTAACCTTGCAATAGCTATATTTATACACAAACCACTACATTGAGAAAAAGAGAAAGAAGTGGATAAAATGTGTTCGTCTCCATGTAACACCCTATGTTGTTGTTTCTAAACCTTACCATGGATTAAAACCACCCATTTTTTGTTAATGCAAATTGCTGGACTTTAACCCCAGAATCTCTAATTTATGTGGGGTGAAATTTGCATCATTCAAAAGTTCCTAGATGATGCTGATCTTGAGACTACACTTTGAAAATTCTGACCATAGGCCTATGGTGAATAGAAAGGACTTCATCGATGTTGCTGAGTCTAACAGAGTGGGATTGTAGTGTGATCTGGTGCTGTAGCAAACAATGGGAGTCCCATATTATTCTATACCTTTACTTCCTGACTCTCTTCACCAAAGATGCTGGAGTTTAGAAGTTCAAGGAAGTGGAGCATTCAGAAACCAGGCAGTTCAGTGTTCCTAGCAGAGAGCTCTGGGAAGGGGAGACATGCTTCTATGAAGTTTCTCTAGAAAAGCTAAACATTTAGCTAGACAGGACTTTGCATGAGTCTAAAGGCTTACATCGCAGATGGAGGCAAAAAGCCAGCAAATCTGGTGGTAAATGTCAGTGTGAATCCTTTCTTATATGCAAGCTGCTGGGCCTGAGAACATTCATGTTCCTCAGTACCCCATTTAGCATTTTAAAAGAAACTGCATATAGAACATTTTTAATGTAAATACTGCAAATCAGGATTTGACTCAAATGTGCTGGGGTAATAACTATGAAATGAATTGAGCATTGTACACAGATATATAGAAGAGCGAGTTAATAGAGGTTTCTAGCTGATTAAACACCGGTGAAACCATGTCGTTCTGCAATTAATTTCCAGAGAGCAAATCTCAAATGTAATCAGGGAAATTCAGTATGGGAGGTCAAGAATCTTATGTTTTAATCTCAGTTGTTCTGCCACTGGATAAGAGATCAACACATTGTTTAAGGGCCAAATGCTAAGTATTCAGTTTTATGGGTTATACAGCAACTCACATCATATACTACCATCCCACATGGTATATATAAAAA